TAAAAAGTAATAAATCACTGACCACTATAGAAGTGTAAATGTTGACCATTTGCCTTACTGTGTTCACAGTTTTATTCCTGAGAATGAGAATAGACATGGAGCAAAATCCCACTGATAATAAGCCACTAATAATGAGAGTATAATACCATAGAGAGATTTATTAGATTAAAATGTATGTTTAAGAATATGGATCAATAGAAGCAAATATGCAAACATATTTGTAAATAGATTAGAATAGTTTTAAACTATAGTGATAGTAAAAGTAAAGTACACAGTCTAAAATTAAAAAGTGAAAATAATAAAGTGAAATAAGTGAAGTGTAAACAATTAGCATTAGAATAAAAGTATAGAGTAATAAAAGTGAAATTAGCTTCTAATTTGAGACTCAGCTCGTTTTTGTCTGTGTTTTGACTGAATCTGCTGAGTTCTTGTGTGTCCAATAGTGTTTGTTTGTTTTTATTTTTGATTTGTTTTTTGTTTGTTTATTTACTTTATTTTTGTTTGTTTATTTTTTCCCAGGATAGAGGATAAAATCCACTGATATTGATTTGATGATTATGAGTTTAATGCATACATTTTCTTTGTTTTTAATAATTTTTTGAAGTTTTTTTTGGAATTTTTTTTTTTTTTTTCTTTTTCCACTTTATTGATTGATCAAATTGAGTGATCACATGTGATTATGTGATCAAAGGGGAGGGTATTAGTATTAGATAGCAATATGGCCTACGTGCAGGACTGTACAAGGACTCTACAAGGACTCCATGTTATGACTATGATGTGACTGTCTCTTTGTGACACGTATGTCTTTCGATGTGTGACGTGACAATGACTATATAAACTGTGTACTGCCTTTATTCTGTCTGGGAGAAAGAAACAGAGGAAACCAGTGGAACTTGAGAGAAACTTAAATAAACTTCCAGAGTTTGGCACACCACGATCCGTCTCTGTCTGCTTAAATCCTAACACATCCTCTCACTTCATATTATTGTTGTGCTTTTCAGGACATAGGACACAGCAGTGAACAGACATCACAGAAACTGTACTAGACAAGGTCCCAGACAAACCCTGGGATGAACATGAAAGACGTCAAGCAGATGTCATAAAAACACATAGATGCCACAAAATCTGACAGATGCCCGACAGGGTTCCAGAGGAGAGCACAGATGATACAGTGCCTTGCGAAAGTATTCATACCACATTTCAGGCATCAAACATAAAGATATAAAAAAAATATTTTTTGTCATGAATCAACAACACAATCGTGAAGTGGAACAAAATTTATTGGATAATTTAAACTTTTTTAAGTTTTATAAAAAACTGAAAAGTGAAAAGTGGGGCGTGCAATATTATTCGGCCCCTTTACTTTCAGTGCAGCAAACTCAGTCCAGAAGTTCAGTGAGGATCTTTGAATGATCCAATGTTGTCCTAAATGACTGATGATGATAAATAGAATGCACCTGTGTGTAATCAAGTCTCCGTATAAATGCACCTGCTCTTTGATAGTCTCAGGGTTCTGTTTAAAGCACAGAGAGAACCATGAAGACAAAGGAACACACCAGGCAGGTCCGAGATACTGTTGTGGAGAAGTTTAAAGCCGGATTTGGATACAAAAAGATTTCCCAAGCTTTAAACATCTCAAGGAGCACTGTGCAAGCAATTATATTGAAATGGAAGGAGTATCAGACCACTGCAAATCTACCAAGACCCTGCCGTCCCTCCAAACTTTCATCTCAAACAAGGAGAAGACTGATCAGAGATGCAGCCAAGAGGCCCATGATCACTCTGGATGAACTGCAGATAACTACAGCTGAGGTGGGAGAGTCTGTCCATAGAACAACAATCAGTCGTGCACTGCACAAATCTGGCCTTTATGGAAGAGTGGCAAGAAGAAAGCCATTTCTCAAAGATATCCATAAAAAGTCTCGTTTAAAGTTTGCCACAAGCCACCTGGGAGACACACCAAACATGTGGAAGAAGGTGCTCTGGTCAGATGAAACCAAAATCATTTTTGGCCACAATGCAAAACGATATGTTTGGCGTAAAAGCAACACAGCTCATCACCCTGAACACACCATCCCCACTGTCAAACATGGTGGTGGCAGCATCATGGTTTGGGCCTGCTTTTCTTCTGTTTCTCCTGTTGGAGTCTGCAAAAGACCTGAGACTGGCACGAAGATTTATCTTCCAACAGGACAATGATCCAAAACATAAAGCCAAATCTACAATGGAATGGTTCACAGATAGACGTATCCAGGTGTTAGAATGGCCAAGTCAAAGTCCAGACCTGAATCCAATCGAGAATCTGTGGAAAGAGCTGAAGACTGCTGTTCACAAACGCTCTCCATCCAACCTCACTGAGCTCGAGCTGTTTTGCAAGGAAGAATGGGCAAGAATTCCAGTCTCTCAATGTGCAAAACTGATAGAGACATACCCCAAGCGACTTGCAGCTCTAATTGCAGCAAAAGGTGGCGCTACAAGGTATTAGCGAAAGGGGGCCGAATAATATTGCAGCTGTGAGACAGAGTGACCGCCGTGTTCACCACAGACACAGACTGTGCTTTGGCACATGTGACGAGCAGGAGAAATAAACTCTAATGAAGGGAATGGAAGTTTGTTTTTATTTTTTACCAAACACATTATTTGACATGTTTTGATATCATATAAACTGTACTTCATCATACATATCCGACTACATTAATACAAGAGGTCTATAATACCATTTTATCACAGGAATCATTAAAGGAACAGAGACAGGATAAATGTTCATGTCGCTGTAGAAGTGTAGAAGTAGGGTGTGCTAACAAGTGTTTATTCCATCTTCGACCATGATCTTCATATGTTCTGTTGTAGTAACATCAGGAGGAAAATCAAACAAGAAAAGATTTTTAAAAAATTAGGTGGTCCAGCTTTAAAAGCCTGGTTGGTTCAGTCGTGTGGTGATGTCACAGCGCAGACAGGATTAAAGTCTGTCCACAGAAGTCCACATCATACAGTATGATGGGCTCCTGTCTTTATGTCAGATCAGTGTTTATGCTCAGATACAGTGGGGCAAAAAAGTATTTAGTCAGCCACCGATTGTGCAAGTTCTCCCACTTAAAATAAAGACAGAGGTCTGTAATTTTTATCATAGGTACACTTCAACTGTGAGAAACAGAATATGAAAAAAAATCCGGGAATTCACATTGTAGGATTTTTAAAGATTTTATATGTAAATTAAGGTGGAAAATAAGTATTTAGTCAATTCAAGGGAGATCTCTGGCTCTCACAGACCTGTAACTTCTTCTTTAAGAAGCTCTTCTGTCCTCCACCTGTTACCTGTATTAATGGCACCAGTTTGAACTCGTTATCTGTATAAAAGACACCTGTCCACAGCCTCAAACAGTCAGACTCCAAACTCCACTATGGCCAAGACCAAAGAGCTGTCGAAGGACACCAGGAAAAGAATTGTAGACCTGCACCAGACTGGAAAGAGTGAATCTACAATAGGCAAGCAGCTTGGTGTGAACAAATCAACTGTGGGATCAATTATCAGAAAATAGAAGACAAATAAGACCAGGATAATCTCCCTCGATTTGGGGCTCCACACAAGATCTCATCCCTTGGGGTCAAAATTATCATGAGAACGGTGATCAAAAATCCCAGAACCACACGGGGGGACCTGGTGAATGACCTGCAGAGAGCTGGGACCAAAGTAACAAAGGTTACCATCAGTAACACACTACGACGACAGGGAATCACATCCTGCAGTGCCAGACGTGTCCCCCTGCTGAAGCCAGGGCATGTCCGGGCCCGTCTGAAGTTTGCCAGAGAGCACATGGATGATACAGCAGAGGATTGGGAGAATGTCATGTGGTCAGATGAAACCAAAGTAGAACTGTTTGGTATAAACTCAACTCGTCGTGTTTGGAGGAAGAAGAATACTGAGTTGCATCCCAAGAACACCATACCTACTGTGAAGCATGGGGGTGGAAACATCATGCTTTGGGGCTGTTTTTCTGCTATGGGGACAGGACGACTGATCCGTGTTAAGGAAAGAATGAATGGGGCCATGTATCGTGAGATTTTGAGCCAAAACCTCCTCCCAATTTGTGTTATTGACCAAATACTTATTTTCCACCATAATTTACAAATACATTCTTTAAAAATCCTACAATGTGAATTCCTGGATTTTTTTTTCACATTCTGTCTCTCACAGTTCAAGTGTACCTATGATGAAAATTACAGACTACTGTCATTATTTTAAGTGGGAGAACTTGCACAATTGGTGGCTGACTAAATACTTTTTTGCCTCACTGTATTTATATATATTTCACAGACATCATCTGCTTATGATGCAGTGATGTTCAGTGGAGGCAGGTGAGCCCCGGCATTACCTGCAAATATGAAAAGAAAAAGAATAAAATGGGAATAATAATACTAGTTCATTTTGCTATTGTATTATTTCAATGTAACTTTGTCTTATTTCACATTTTTCTCATATTTGACAGAGCAGTGCGCTGTGAGGCGAGCCTCACTTGGGTGATGTAAACCTCACAGTGGGAAAAGGTGGTGCAGTGGGTCGTACTGTTTTCTCTGTTCCTTTACAAAACAACATATCTACAGTTTTGTGGATGGGTCATAAATTGTGTTTTTGACAACAAAAATGGGTCTTTAGTGTGCTGAACCACAGCTTGAAAAATACCCAAGTGAGGCCAGCCTCAGGGTAGGGGGCGATAGTGACTGCATTAGATTCATCCAGAAAGCCGCCTTCCTCCGCCTTCCTCCGCCTTCCTCCGCTGAGGGCAACTACAGGTTTGGCCAACATACACACAACACATTTTAAAAGCCTCTTAGGCCAATGTTATTATGCTTGCAATGACAATAGGAAGGGAAGGGTCAGTTGATCGTTAAAGCTGTGTGTGCATGTGTAGTCTTACTCGGTCTGAGAATGTGTGTGTAATCTTACATGGTCTGATTATGTGTGTGTTTGTATGTGTGTGTGTGTGTGTGTGTAGTCTTACCCGGTCTGAGTATGTGTGTGTATTGTAGTAGTGGTAGTAGGCCGCCTCCTCCTCACTGGCCTCTCCGGGTTCAGGACTGTCCCGCTCCACACTGCTCACGGAGCCCCGGTGAGGGGAGGTCTCTCTGCCCATGGGACGCTCTGCATACACACACAACGGCCATGAAAGTTCAACATGTGATGATAATGATAAAAATACATCCATCCATCCATTTACTTCCCCTTAATCCATTTCTGGGTCGGGGGGTGGCAGTCAGAGCTGCACCCAGTACACAGAGCACCAGCCCCTCACTGATCCTCCTGCAGGTGCTGAGTCCAAAGGAGCTTTGATCTTTCAGCGTGGGGCTTCAGGCAAAGTGGGGTTAAGTGTCTTGCCCAAGGACACAACGGCAGCAGACATCAGTGGGGGTCGTTAAGTAGGTCTTATGGTGGGCTCGAACCCACAACCTTCAGGCCCAAAGGCTCTACCAACTGAGCCACTCTCGCCCCAGACAAAAATGCGATGTACTGTATTTGCACGCTTTACAAGCTACAGATCAGCTCCATCATTCACACTCGCTAGATTCATACTCTCCATCTGAGAAACTGGAGCGCCCATCCAGACACAGGGAGAAACCATAGACCGTATATTAGGAGTGGACTGACCGAGTGCTGACATCACCCATACTGTGGAATAGTCTGATTTGAAGATAAACTAGCTGGGTCTGAAACACAAACGGTTACTGAGTGAGTGGAGTTCACTCATCAATGTAAGTCAAAAGGAGCCAGGGCAAAACTTTTACCATGAGCACTTTATTTGTGTTTTATTGGGCTTCATTGAGCTAGCAGGTTAGTAATGTCCATCTATCCACAGCCTATGGGAGAAACTCTCAAACTTCACAATAGGGATGTAATTTATGATTATTCTTTAATCCATCAGTTGTTTTGACCCCAAAAGTGAATATGGGATTTTTTAGATATACAGTATTTGACCAAAACAAAGCTCAGGTGATGATCCCTGAGCACATTTTCATAGAGACTCGTTAGACAATGGGTTGTTTGATCCAAAATAAGTTTTATCTATTCAAAATAAATATTGTATTTAATTCTGCAGTCATTATAGACAAAATTCTTCTGTTTACAATGTTTAAGTCTATGGAAGGTTCAAAGAATGATTAATTGATGACTAAATTCAAAACTATTCATATGATTGTTACAGCCCTACTCCGCGCAGTCGAGCCCCTGGTCCGGCTCAGGTCTCACCTTTCTTTCTTTGACAGAAGTGGGGTGCAATTACAGCCAACGGAATTATGGAACCACTGGACAAACTTAAGTTAGAATTGATTTATGTGTAAGTAATTATGAGATTTCATAACACTTTGAAGCAACTTTTGTTAAAGTTAAACTCATCATTCTATCAATGTGCAGAAGCCAGTACTTTTCCCTTCTTGTGTCTATCTGAAGGCCAAGCTCCAAGCACACCGTGGAAGCTGCTGATTGGAGGTCTCCATGCCTCCGCTCTGTATAATACACTTGCATTCTCTTGTATCTGTGATCGTGTGCTTTGTTCGTGCTGTCTCTACCATCGACAATAAAACATGTCTTCTGTCTGAATTAAAGACGCGATCCCAGACTTTGTCATCTTCTTCATAATCTTCATGTATATAGCACCATATAGTCACAAAGCGCTGTACAATTGTGCATTCTCTGATCTGTTGTTGGTAATTAAACAGCTCGGTAAAGTCCTCTGAGACGACAGCAGTTGAGATTAAGGGCTGTACAAAAGTAAAGTAATGAATTGAACTGATTATGACAAGATCGTTACTTTTTGCCATATCACCCAGTCCTCTCTGCACTAAAACTAGTTTCTGTATCAAATCACCTTGATAACACTTGTTTCACATGTACTTGTTCAATTGTTAAATGACTTCATTCGTCAACATTATATTAAAATGAATATGTATCCTGAAAAGCTGACTCCAACTTTAATAAATGGACAAAAGCGTCACAGTCAAACAGTGAAATCCCACTGGTCCATGGAGCAATATTGCACAATGTAAAGAGTGTCAAGAACTGCTGAGCTGGCACTCAAACCCACAACTGTGCTATTGGGCAAAATCAGCGCCTCAGCAATTATTTTTACAGCAGCAATGACAACCATATTTGCACAGCGATCACAGAACATTCATCATAACTATGCCTGATTTTCATTTGTGTCATTAGGGACTAGTTTGTGGATAAACTCTGAGCGGAGGAGAAGGGGACACAATCAGACAGTCTCTTCAAAAACATGAAAACTCATTTGTTTTTCCGCACGCATGCAGAGGGAGGGCTGAGGAAGGGCTGAGGGAGGGATGAGAGAGGGGTGAGGGAGGGATGAGAGAGGGCTGAGGGAGGGCTGAGGGAGGGCTGAGGGAGGGCTGAGGGAGGCCACAGTCCAACACAGACATTATGGATGGAGCTGGGAAAGTGACAGCAAGATTATGGAACTAATGAAATTGCAAATTAGCCTGGTTGGCTATAAATGTTGTACTGTTTTGCATGTTGATTGTGAACACTTGTCCCTATCAAATAAATAAATAAATGAAAAACAACATTAAAATGAATAAAGTGTAAATCCAAGATACAGTCCTGGGGTAAAAGATATGATTGGCATCTCTTGGTCTGTCCTCTGTCGTATAATCCATGACATGTGTGGATCTTCATTCAATATTTTCAGCAATTTTGAAGTAAAGAAAGCATAAGTATTTTTTGTCATGAGAGCTGTCCTTGTGCAGTAGAACATGTAAGAAATGTAAAAAAGCCAACAAATGAAGTTCAATTGATTTTTCTTAACACATAATATAAAATGGGGTACCTAATTGATATTTATGAATGATTCATTTTGTGTAATAATAATTTGTAATAATAATTCTCAACCAAAAAGTCAAATCCGACCACAACACGCTTTCTTTCCCATACTTCTGAGAAAGAGCCCCATGACTCACTATTTCATTTAATTTTGGGGATGAAAGCTGATCCTCTCTTTTTCACTTTTGTGTCTGAAAATTCGGCAAAAAAAATATGGCAAGAAAGTGCATGCATGTGAAAACTATAGAACGTTTACAGTGCCATGGATGGATTTGATCACATTTCAAAATAACACCAACATTTGCACATTAAACAATTCAACACTATAATGCAGAAATATATCACAAGCATTTGATTATTGACAGTTATAATAGTTGATATCCTTTGGCAATAACTAATCAATAACTAATAAATGTCTTTTGGATGACTATTTTTCCACATTGATTCAGCAAATTGAGTAAAACTTATATCCATCCTCGAAAAAAAAAAAAAAGTTAAAAAGTTATGGCCCCTTAAAATGCAAGCGATAACTCCAGGTAAACGGTGGCGCCATCAAGCTGTCACTTTGGGTAATTTGCTGCTGTCGCGGGCGTTTCTAGCGGCTCCACGCAGACGGGCGCGGAGATAAGTGCGCAGGTGAGGGGAAGAGCTTATGGGGGGAGTTTATCTGCGTTCACCTGGCTGTCAGAAGGCTCGCTCCGCCGCCACAACGTCTGCCATTAGCCCATTACTCGCAGATGAAAGAAGATAGCGTTAGCCTCTCACAGGGGGAAAAACATGTCCGGGCGCTATCGCAGGGAGAAGACGCGCGAGCTGGGGAGAAGGATTTGTAATCAACTTCAGATGAATGGAAGAAAGAGCGGGGGTTTGTTAATGGAGGGGGCTGAGATGGCTGCGCAAATTCAGATTCAGTGTGATATTAGCGACGTGTGAGGAGAGGGGGTGCCAATAGAACCGCTGGATATGTAGCAGCGTGTATAGTACAGGGGTCCCTCGCTTTAACACGGTTGACTTTCTGCGACCTCTTTGTTCCGCAGAATTTGAGTGTGTGCTTTTCTACAGTGTGATTCTTGTGTGCCACGTGTTTACTCCAACAGCATCATATACCCGCTAGTAACCTCAAATTGACCCAGCACAGTGAATAAAAAAAAAACAAATATATATTTTTTCGAGCTGAATTTTGATGATTTTTTTTCCTAACTTGACCAGCCCTATGTCAGGCCCTTTTATATTCTAATTTAGGGAATTTTTCTTCAACTTTTAATCACTGTGGTGGGCCATTTTGACACGAAGACGGCACAAGGGATAACAAAACAGTTACCCGTATCTAAAGTCAGAAAACTGAAGAAAAAGGCATGGACATTTATCAAAATGTATGGACATGTGTTTTCTATCATTGCATTTCTTGTGTTTGAACGGATTCTCTGATCTGTGTTGGTAAATTCAACGGTTGTGTATAAAGTCATCTGAGATATCAACTGTTATGATTCAGGGCTTTACAAGAATAATTGAATTGAATTGAAAACATTTGTGTGCACCGCGGTGATAATTTCAGAGGATTACAATGGTCTTCCCACAGCCCTCACTCCTGCTCCTGCCCCTCAGCATTGTGTCTGCAGCAGCTACATTTTACAGTGAATGCACGGCTTTCAACAGCTGCAGCAGCGCTCAGACCTACAACCAACACGTTTTAAATCTCTGCGATCGCACTTCAGCCGTCGGGAGTTCAGGTGGTTAGAAAAGTGTGTAAAGTGTGTGGTGAAGGATTCTACAGACTTAAAACAGTCACTGCAATTCACCATCTCCATATTTGCCCACTACACTAGCCCTAGCCAAACCGTTCTCGCAGCTTGTGTAAGTAAACAGAAATCGAGCACCTGGGCAGTCCTTCCTCTGCTGGTCCATCTTGTCCACACAGTCCAGCAGCTCGTCGATCTGGACTTTGATCCCAGTCAGCTCCCTCTTGATGGATAGCAGCTCGGTCATCTTCACTGCGGGGACACAAGACACAGACATCCAACTCAGAGCTTTCATTGTCAACATGATGGACCCTGAGCTGTGTTCCTGTGCCCCCTGGAGGCAAATAAAGACCAACATCACCAAGATTCAGGACAGGGACAACAGATGGGAACGAGGACGGTCCATAAAAATGAATAAACAACAAGAAAGAGGCACCAGTGGGCCAGTTATGTGCAGCAGAGTGTAGTGTTTTTGTGAGTGTGGCCAATCCATGAATGAATGGCTGAGATACACACCATAGTCATATTTATATCATTATCATTAATAGTAATAACAATGAGAAAGCTATTAGTGTTGTTGTTATTATTATAACAACGTGCAGCACCCAAAGACAAAAATACAATGGTTTCTCACGGCTTTTTTGTGATTCTTTTGAAAGTTGGAAAGATAGACGTATTAGGTTTCCCACTGCCTGAAAAGTAACTTCAAAGAAAGAACTTCCACTAGAAATAATTTGATTAATAAAAAATAAAAAAAAACAGGTTGGAATTAAATGAGAAAGAATATCTGATTGTTAGGGAGGAGACTTTATCTCAGCAAGAAGGTCCTGGGTTCGAATCCCGGTCGGACCAGGGCCTTTCTTAGTGGACTTTGCATGTTCTCCCCGTGTCTGCGTAGGTTTCCTCCGGGTACTCCGGTTTCCCCTACCACTAAAAATGTACAATAGGTCTGGCATGTGCCTTCTGTACTGCCGACCCCGCTCCCATCTCTGTGTGGAGTGAGAGACAAATGCCCAAAAATAACAATTGTAAACCGCTTTGTGACTCTGGTCTGTGAAAAGCGGTATATACAGTAAATAACTTACTTACTTACTTACTATAAAAAATGATTGAATAAAATAAAAAAATAGAAAGAAAGGATATTAATTAATTGCTGTATTGATTCATAAAAAAAAATCTAATATTCAGTGCTTTATCACCCTCAACACGTTTTAGACTGATTGGGTTTTAAATAAGCTAATAATGCACTTATTCAGACTTAGAATTTCAGAGAGAGAGAAACACACACACACACACACACACACACCCCCCCACACAGAGGTTTTCTGCTAAAAACCAATATTTTACACAGCAGAACCTTGGAAGGCTGTAACACCCACCAGAAATGTGATGAAGCGCACCTTTGAACATGACCCTTTCCTTGTTATCGCCGCTGCAGCCCTGAGTCTGAACGCAACAACAAACATCCATTGTGAGCATTTTCCACAAGCGCATCATCTGTGCTTGGCGAGAGCAGAAATAAAACACATCCACTGACCCCAGAGCGCACTCTCCAGCGACCCTGAAAAGCACAGCAGCCTGCGTGCATTTTGACCTCCTCGCAAAGGCAATCTCATTTCCCCGTGATGGGCGCACTAAAACTATTAAGCCTTGTAATAAACTAGTATAAACAATTCTGATTCGCCACGCACTATTAACTGGCTCTAATTGCGGATGGTGATAGGCCCGTGTGCGGTGGGTTTGGAGAGGAGAGCCCCGCGGTACAGAAGCGTTTAATGAAGACACCATCTGGTACGTTCTCCGGCTGCACCCTGGGGCCCCGCGCGAGACGAGCTGTCAGCCAGGCACAGATAACAGGAGGCGGGGAGGACTGCGAGACATGCGGCTTCCATACGAGAAGACGCCGCCGCAGCCATTTTGCAGATGTTTCTATTGCATATGGAACAAGTTGTATCGCCTCGCTCTGTGTCATTGTTGGGCAGTATAGTCGCTTTTTGTTTGTGCAGAGTAGGGACGTATTCAGTAACTTTCACCGCTTGTAAAACGCAATGAAAAAGAAAATATAAGACAGTGATGTTAAATTATCAATGAAGTTTTGTAGGCTTAACAGATTTTTTATGGGATTTAGCTGTGATTTCAAATGCTGCAATGTTTTGTACCAGAAATGAGAGCGGGGGAGGTAGGTGTTGTAGGTAGGTGTTGGTGACGTTAAGAGTATGCGGTGAGTTTGGCAATGATGGTGAATGCGATAGTAAAGTAATCCGTTCTGGTTCGGCTCCAAATATCAAGAAATTGAAGCCGAATTTGGAGGAATGTTTGGCAGATTTCATTGCTGCAAAGATGTTGTCGCTCTACTCCCCACAGGTTCCGTTAGCTGCAAAGGAGATGGCTAAAGCTAGGCTAGATGCTAAATGCCTCACTCACTCGGGCACATTGCAAACGTCTCGGTAAACTCAGATCTAATTGTTTCAATCTGCAAAAGGAGTTAACCCTTCCTGTTCACGGAGCTCAATGGAGCACCTCCAGACCTTAGTACGAAATGAAATTTGTACGATGGTGTGGTAAGACCAGGCTAGTACCAAACCAATTCTAAGTGTGGTATTTTATTGTGACATAATAATAATAATAATAATAATAATAATAATAATAATAATAAACAAGATATGCATCCCAATTCAGCTTTGCACACATGAAATAAACCTTGACAAAATGATTTGTTTCACGACATGCAGACTGCTATTGCAATTTCCACCGCTGATGTTTTTTTGGCCAATATAGAAACGTATTCCCAAAGAAAAATGTACTGTTTGTTGTGTCTTTGAATAAGGATTGGCAATATATCGTTGTTTCATTGAAGAAAATTGAGCAGCACAACTCTGGCTCAGCCCCGAAACATCACCAGCACTCTCTCGGTCAAAGACAATAGAAATCGTTACGAGCAATAAGTTATGCAGCTCAATTTTCTTCAATCTACCATATGGAATCCATTTTTCGCTTTATGTTTAGATGTGCGTGTCCTTCCTTTGACAATAGTATATGTGCATCGTTTTTCTGCGCAGAGAATCAGTTGGTGTTCTTTATAACTACCTGCTTAATGCTGAAAGGTGAAATTGCCTTGACTGCAATGTAAGATAAGAAAAGATAAGACTTATTTGTCAAATACAAGTCCACACACGGGCAACAGGACGATGAAATGGGTTTGGATGAGAAAAAACCGGTCCCCTGGCTCATAAAAAAACCATCCTCTAAAGCAGCCATTGGCAAAGTCTTCAGCGCTGACGCCCCCTTGATTGACCTTGATTGATTGAAAAACTCCCTGTGGCTACCCAGGAAAAATGTACTATTATGAAGGAAATGTTATGCGTTATGGATTTGAAATATATTGGTGCCTCGCTTTTTCACAGCGTCATACAACCGCTAGTAAAACACGACTTTTACTCAAAGCAGTCATATGTAAGATTTTCATATCAAGTCATCATTAAATGGCCCTAATCTGTCAAAAGGCCTTAACCATGCTCTTATCAAATACTTCTTTAACTGATAACAGTAGTTCAGCCGAGATATTTGGATTTCAGAATTAGTTTTACAGCCCCTAAATGTTGTTATTTTTTTCATTTCGATGTCACGCGCTGCATGTCATGTCATGTCATGTAATTTTCTACCTCTTTATCAATCAATTTATGAGTCGGGGAGGTGGCAATCAGAGCTGCCACCCAAGTGTCATTGCACCAGTCCCTCACTGATCCTTCTATCGACTAGAAGGCCTTGATCTTTCAGCAGGGGCTTCAGGCAATGTGGGGTTAAGTGCCTTGCCCAGGGACACAACAACAGCAGGTGACATGGGTCGTGATGGGCCCAAAGACCAGTGCTCTACCAACTGAGCTACTATCCCGCCCTTCACAGTTTTACCAATCAGAAAGTCCACAGTTATTAGTAGCTATATGATTTTAGGCTGTAAAACTCCTCACCACTCACTTTTTACCACCTGAAGTCACTACTGATGAATGGTCAAACCCTTGCGTTTTAGGTTTGAACGCTGCTGAAGCTGTATAAAACCGTGCATACAGTTGAAATACTGGTAGGACTAAGAGCTACGGGAAGACCGCAGTAGTCCTCTGAACTAATCACAGCACCACATACTGAAGTAGCTGTCATGTTGTACTAGCGGTAATCTTATATTGTATATCAGGGGTGTCCAAACATTTTAGTGAGAGGGCCACTTAAGTTCACCAGACTTGTCCAGGGGCTGATGACTGAAAAACTGTCTTGAGCTTTAAAATGATCTATACCAGAGCTGAAGTTGGATGGATGACACAGTGAACTTGTGTTTAGGATCTCAAAGACAATTTTGGGTTATCAAGGCAGAGGGCCACATAAAATGACACTGAGGGCCGCAATTAGCCCCTGGACCTGAGTTTGGACATGCCTGTTGTATATGATGTTGTTGGAGTACACATCTAAAGAATGAGAAACACTTTCACACACACAAAAACTACAAAACAGTGGGGCAGCGAAAGGTGAACCTGATTGTTGCTGGGGACTACTGTATATTTTTTTTTTCTGGGAATTTAATGAGCAGATACAAAGTGTTTGCAAAAATAACTAAAAATCAACATTCTGGGTTGCTCACATGTTTTGTTGGGGGTCTTGCTGGTGCTGGAGGAGCGCGGTTTGTCCAGGACTCTGCCGTTTCTCCTGTGTGCCGTTCTGGAAGACGAGGAGTGAGAGGAGGACGGGGACGCTCTCTGTCTCTTCGCTGGACTGGGCTCCTGGGCTCCCGGGACACGCTGGTACTCCGACACCCTGTGAGATATGATTATATATCACTACTTTTTTTTCTAGATATTTACATTGATGTGAAGCAGCTTGTGCGGTCATCTCTCTGTGAAAGGCACTGAGTAGGAAAAAGTTAGATAATGAAAGTGAGTAAGACAGGCTGGATCCTTTTTGCTAAAAGGCAGGTAAGTATAATATTTTTCAAGATAATGTGTGTGATACAAAAAAGAAAAAGTTTGATCATTTTGCCTCCTGATTGTAAAGTGATGATAATTATAATAACAATCAGTTTTATATATAAGACTTTTCAGGAAACTCAAAGGTGCTTCATAAGTCATTCTTCTTTCATGCCATACTCAACTACAACTACTACTGAAGCCACAGCTGCCTTGGGGCACACTGACAGAAGCGAGGCAACCAGTAAGTGCCATCAGCCCCTCCCACCACCAACCATTCACACACACAACAGACTCATTCTAGGCAATGTGGGTGAAGTGTCTTGCCTAAGGACACAACATCAGTTTGGCACTTTTCAGCCGCAGTCGCCCCACTGATGATAGCACTCTGCAATTACTGTATTTACTGTATGTATTTATCTCGTTATTGTGATAGAAATGAGCCCCGGCAATCCAAGATGTCCACCCATTCGAATCAATGGCCTGTGCTCATTGCCGTGTCGTTAGCCATGGAGGCCAAAATATCAGCGGATATGACGCATTCGTTTTTAGAAGGAGACGTTGACGACCGAAAAGATTAGAGCGAACGAGAACGAGCCGAGTTTGGTGCAAAAATGTGTGGAGTTATATAAAAAAAAATCAAGATGACAATGGACATGGAGATTTTTTAATTATAGTTTTTGGGGATTTTGAGCCATAAACTAGACCATTATCGGCAAGACAAGGCGAGTTCAAACACAAGACTGTTCAAAGTTCTTAACAAAGCAAGAAAAGAAACATTACAATAGATAATCACAGTTGAAACGATTGAGGCTACAATCCTCCAATCTTAATAATATATAGTATAAAAAATATCAGTTACAATTACCAAAATATGCTTCAAGCTCAGAGCAGATATTGTACTATTTACGAACCCACGTCATGTCAGGATTCTGTTTTGCCCATAAGCCACGCTAACAAATGACATGATTCAATGGATTTCCTCTGGCGTTGCATTTAAGCATCTAATCTTAGCTATCACGTGTTTATCGGTGCGCTCTGGGCGGTCATAACATCCTTTGAAATGGTGTGTGTGTGATGTGTGTGTGGTTTGTGCGCGCGGTGCGTTCAGGGGGCTGCTACTGTGTAGGAAAAGCCGCGCCTCGTCGTCTGCTCTATCACACACTTGATCAAATTGGAGATGTCATTCACTCGTCAGCCTCGGCCTGCTTTTCCTGAACCGAGCCTGGAGAGGAGCGTAAAGGGGGTGATATGTTCTGCTCTCAGTGACTATTACACCGTTCATATAACAACAGAGATTTATGGTGAAGATTTAAGTGAAAATAGTTTATTTTAGTACATTTTCATACTTATCCCAGATAGAATTTGGGTGCGGTTAATTGGTTAATCAGTTATCTTTGAGTGCTATCAATCACTGCTTTGTTTCTTCTAGTGTCTGTTTCAAAGCAAACATGATTCCAAGACCCTGGTTTTATAATCTGCTGTTGGCAAATCAACAATTCTGTGATGCCCATCGAGGCGACTGCTGCTGTGATTTTGGGGCGATACAAAATTAAAGTAAATAGTCAAGTGTGGCCTTGAATAAAGTGAACTTTACTGGTCGTGGGTTCAATCCCCTCATGACCCATGTCCTCTGCTCCCACTGATGTCTGCTGTCATTGTGTTCCTGGGCAAGACACTTTACCCTGCTTTGCCTGAAGCTCACACTTTAAGACCTACAAGAGGATCAGAAAGGGACTGGTGCTTTGAGACTTGGGTGGCAGCATGGATTTCCACCTCCCCCCGACCCAGAAATGGAAAAATAAAGAGGAAGAAAATGACATGAAAACAACTATTTTCAAAATTAGCTGGTGCAGACATGTAGTGCAATATGCCTACTTTAATATATCTGAATTTTTGGAGGATTAAAACAGTTTTAAGGTGAATTACTACCAAGAGATCCCAGGGCCATTCATGTCACACATTTTAGTATTTCATCTCTTATCAATACATCTCATCTTTATCTGTAGAGCACATTTAAAACAGGCTAGGCTCACCAAAGTGCTGTACAGACAGAAATCAGCAAAATACAAACACTAAATGTATATACACATAGAAACTAAAAACCTGCCTCTTTCTACCTGGTAATAAAATTCAAAGAGAAAAAGTGCATGTTAAGCAAGGATTTAAGGTGCTCAAGTGATTACTGTTAAACATATTTACTTCTCTGTGTGTGAACTAACAGTCTTTGAACAGTATTTTTCACAAGGTCCATAAAAATACAGAGGTGACTGCTATAGTGAAATTGTGCCCTAAAAATAAATCAAAATGTTGAAGTACGTCCTTGACACGTCAAAGCTCCGTTCGCTTAATGACCCAAACACGTAAAAAGCAAGACTTACTTTGAAGTGACTTTGCCCCATAATAATAACACAGCCTTCAGTCTCAATTAACTCTCTTATAGATCATTTTAATACCTTTATAAAAGCAGGGTTATTTCATGTCACGGCCCGGATCACAGAGCACCCTTCAGAAAGACCGAGACTCCTTCACAGCTAAACCATCAGTGATTTTAGTCAGGGACATACAGTATATATATATATGTATGTGGTGTTTGGACTGGACCGAGCGAGTACCCAATGCGGAAGAGATGATAACATAAGCTAGCTAGTGCCAAATTCTTTATCAATTAATCAACATGTATTTGTATCGCCCAATTTGTGCACAAGGCAATTCAAAGTCTTTCTAAAGAGCTGTTTAAAATGGAGATCAAGATGCATAAAAAAAGATCAAATCAAATGGCCGTTTGTTCTGATGGCGTTAGCTTTGAGCCATAACAGGCGGCACGGTGGCTGATAGCACTCTCGCTTCTCAGCAAGAAGGCCCTAGGTTCGAATCCCGGTTGGAACAGGGCCTCTCTGAGTGGAGTTTGCATGTTCTCCCCGTGTCTGCGTAGGTTTCCTCCAGGTGCTATGGTTTCCCCTACCACTAATACATCTACAATAGGTATGAATGTAAATGAGGGAGTGAATGGATGGTGTTGATCGGGGGCTTTGATGCGCAGTGTGTTCGGCGTCTCGCTTCTGTCATCACCGTGTGTGGAATGATTGGTACAATATCTGAACCCTGTACATTGTAAAGCACTTTGGGTGACCTTGGTCTGTGAAATGCGCTATATAAATACACTTTACTTACTGACTTACTAAAACAGGGGCAGATGTGTTGCTTTGTCCTTGTTATGCCACAAGGGCAATTCAATTCAATTTATTTTAATGTATTCTTGTATAGCCCTAAATTACAACAGTTGGTTATCTTGGAGGACTTCACAAAATGATTGAATTCGCCAACACAGATCAGAGAATCAACAATTTAAACACAAGAAATGCAATGATAAAACACACATAGCCGTTGGTCAATAAGGGGCAGATGACCTATGCCCATAAATGTTGGATGTTGAGTGTCCTGGATCAACACCGCAGTCCTTTCTGTTAGACCCTCTAACAGTCTCAACAGACCCTACTGCATCGGCAAAGAAAAACTCTAAAACCCAGTGGGAAAAGGTGAAAAACGAACGAGGACCAAGGCCACGCAGGACTCAGGTTGTAGAACAAGGACAGACGCGGTGCCTTACATTAAAGCTCCTGATTGGCTTTGGTTGCTATACTGTAGGTTCCACGATTCCCGCCCTTGAAGCCAGTCAGAAAGGCGAAAACTTTGGGAACGTCAGCTCAGTTAGTCCACTCCTTCCACAGTCTGTGGATGAGATTTGGTCATTTGAAATATATTACATTCCAGTTCACAATTCTTGGATCTCGCTATTTTTATGCTTATCTTTTTGCTTTATTTTCCTATCATCAACAATGCAAAGCAATAGAGGAGAGATATGGAATAATTAGGGCTGTCAAAATGATCTCGTTAATTCACGTTAATTACATTTTTCATTAATTGTGTTTAGAAAAATTAACACGTTTGAAGGATATCCGAATGACCCGGCCATGTATCCCATAATATCACTCAGAATGCCGCGGACACATGCGTGTGTGAGATGGCAACAGAGCAGGTAGGGCCTCTGGGAATTCAAGTTTCAAAAGAATATGTGCATGACCGCGGGGAACTTGCTGTTGTTTGCTGTATGAACTGAAGTCCGCATCCTCCGTGGCCACAGTGTTCTGACCCAGGGCAACTGCGGCCGCTCTGGACAGAGGTTTCCACCTCCGGCACCTGTGAGCCGCTAAAAACAACACGGCAAACGGCTTGTAACCCGTGCGTAACCTGTGTTTGTAAATACACCACTGAAACTGAACTATGGAGCCTCAGGAAGTGTCCGTGTCTCCTCCTGAAACGCAACTAAACTCGCTAAATAAAGCTGGGTTACGTAAATGTTTCCTTTCATGAACAGCTCATGTCGGTTGTGCCCAAAAGTAAAAGGTTGTGAGCAAATCAAACAGATTCAAGTACATTTGGTATGAATGACAATGTGTCATTGCATTTGATAATCTCATTTCACTTCAATTGGAGTGGATTTGAAAAATAATGTTAAAAATGTGATTCATCGTGAGTTAACTCATCATTATTATGTGATTAATCAACAACAACAAAATAAACATTTGACAGCCCTAGGAATAAAAGATCCAATACTTCAACTATAACTACGTATTTTTCTTAACAAGCTCTTTTAATACTTTCAAATGGAAAATACCGCTTATCTTTCCTCCTAAAATGTTAATCCGAGTATTGAACATGCAGTTTCGTGGTTGCACAGACTTTACAACACCACAATAGACCCGGCATTCGTGCTTTCCCTTTCAGCATCTTTCCTGAAGGACTTCTCGGCTCCTCTCAGCGGCGACGTAAGCACCTATTCAAGTTCACCGTCCCATCAGGGGGTCGGACCGCCATCAGCAACTTTTCATCTGTGTCCCCCACCTCTCAGATCTGTCCTGCTGTGCGTCCCAGGACACAGAGAGGGAGGTGTCTGGGGAGGTGGAAGTCCGGCTGAGCCTATACCTGCGCTAAGCCTATAATCTGTGAGAAGCAGATAAACACACATAAATATTTACAGCGGCGCGTCGGGAGCTTTAGATGCGCTGTCGGTGACAATAGTGCAGCAGCGCAACCGAGAGAAGTGAATTTATGCAAAGACTAGTTGTGTAGCGCGTGTGGGACTAAAGTAGTGGATGTAAAACAGAGCAGTTTTAGAGATAATAATGTACTTTGAGGAACAAATATTCAGAGTTGTGTTCAGTTCGGTCCTTACTTTGCCATTTCATGTTTTAGGATGAGGAGAGGACGAGTAGTAGTAGTAGTGGTGGTAATATGGTGGTGGTGGAAATCTTTCAGAGGGGAGTTTGCATGTTCTCCCCGTGCCTGAATAGTTTTCCTCTGGGTACTCTAGTTTCCCTTACCACTAAAAACTTGTACAAGCGGTAAAATTCTCCAGCACCGGTCGTCCTGAACAAACATCTGGAGATGGGTCCCTTGGCGCTGTACTACGATGACTACTGCTCCTAGAGGCTTTGTGGGATGGGTCAAATGCAGAGAACAAATTTCCCTACGGAGATAAATAAGGTGTACTTTAAAGCTGCACTAACTGACTTTGAGAAATATTCAAATGAGAACGCTGAGCTCGCTCTTGTTGCTCGCCCTCCCCACACGGAGCTTTCGCCCCCCACTACCCCCCTCCCCCTCAGCCTCTGCTCTTATGCTAACTGTTTACGGAGCTCACATCTCACAATATGGATTGCACATTTGCACGTGGATGGCGTGATCATAGAATGATAGAACCGGGAAGCGCGGAGAGAACGAGACTTTCTTTTAGACGGCTGTTTCGCTGAGTAAGCAGTGACCGGTAACGAAGACACGGGAAGCTTCAGGTTAGCCCAGGGGTCGGCAACCCGCGGCTCCGGAGCCGCATGCGGCTCTTGAGTGCTCCTGGAGTGGCTCCTGGAGCCTTTTCAAAAATGTCTGAAAATGGAGTGTGAGGGCTATATTTTATTTCTAGTTTGAATGTGGTTTATGTAGAAGGAAAAACAATCTTTACGTTTTTAAATGCTGTAAAAATATGTATAAGTAATATCTAATTTCAACATTTCTGTCAACGTAGTGCGTCATATCCTATGACGCGCGGTCACGCGGCTCCGCCCCATGCGGCCGCTGCTGTAAACAAACCGGCGTGTGTGACAGTGTGCATCATAGACTGTAAGTGCACATGGATCCCAAAGCTAAAACGAGAAAGAGTCGATAACAAGACTGGACTAAGAATGAGAATGAACATTTTCTTTCAGTCAATGAGGAAGGACTGCTTCATGTTTGTAATGAGAAGTTTTGTTGCAACACGAGGAACAATGACGCGCAAAACGACGTAAACGGTGATTACGGGAAGGATTCATTCATCAAAAATTCAGAGCACCTATTTTCAGACTTCAAAACCTTCTCAAAGACGGTGAAAGAAAAGGCCATTAAGGATTTTAATTCAGCTCCAGCAAACTTCAGCCTGTGACGTGATGGATATGAGCAGACAGTGATGCAGGTATGTGACCTCTGAGCCCAAAGCAGATTTATTTACTGTATTTCTATAATTGCATGAAGGCAAAAAAATGGAAGTTAAACTAAAGCAGAGTTGTCACGTGTTGCGTCATTCACGACACGCGTGGTGCGACACGCTGCAGTGAAAATACACATTTGATAATCATGAATGATTATTATGTATTTGTAGCCTTTACTTTGTCATTTAGATATTAGGCTAATATAGCTAATACATCTTGCAGCCTGTGTTACCTTCATAAAAGTCTTATACAAGCCTGTTATTTTTTTGCGGCTTGTTGTATATTTTAAATCTACACTATTCAGATGTGACAATATTTGACCATTTGAACATCATAGCCAAAAAAAGACCTCTGTGCACTCAGGAAAAACCCCAAGGACACAAGAAGTACGAGAATCATAAAGGAGGACCAGCTTACAAAAGCCAGACAATTATTGACTCCCAGAATAAACACATGTGTGGCAAATTTGACCTATGGATCCCCCGCAGCCCCCTCCCGCAGCAGCTGCGTTTACACAGGCGCCGCACGGGTGGGGGCATTGTTTGCTTAAGCAGAGACCAGACCAGTCTCAGACCAGAGACCAGTTTCAGACCTGTGACGTCATCGGACCCTGGGCACAGGACCTCCCTGATACGACACGCCCCCTGCTCCCTGAACATAATGCTCTGGCTTGGGAAGAGACGAGAGAAATCAGCCGAGGGCCAGGAGAGGGACATATTAGTTAGGAGCACCTTTTTGTTGAATATTCTGTATCTGATTGTAAAGATAATTAAATGCAGATGTTAAACTTGGATATCTTCGTCTGATTTCTGTACCAAATTGTGGACACGCCAGCCAAAGGGAATTATTGGCTTCATTTGGTGACCCCGACGTGATTTGATACAGAAAGAAGACGCAAGATGAGCTCAGATAGATAGACTGGGTCTGTTGGGTCTTGGGGCTCTCTCTACTGCAAAACACAGGTAAGCAGATACCATTTCTAAAGTCTGCACATTGTTTTAAATAGAAGACAGAGAGATCTCGGCCCAGCATGACTGCAGCGTGGCCAGACCGCCGTGACGGGCGTTCTATCGGACGCGATAGAACAATAGTCAGGTTTTTCGACGTTTTTGAACCTTGAGGGATGTTGGTCTCTCTCTAAAAAAGAATATACAGGAAAAGAGCCACAGGGTTTATAAGTGCAAAAGAGGCACACCTTCGTGCAGAGAGGCACAAGGGAATTAGTGAAAAAATAGGAATAGAATTAGAGAAATAGGGATAGTTAGGGTCAGAAGTTATAGGATAATAAAAACTCCATATCCCCCGGGGGTGGGGAAAAGGGCACAATTAATTTAAACAGAAGAAAAGCCAAGTATTTAAAATGTGGATTCTGATAATAATGATCTGATTAATGAGGAAAAAGAGAGCCTCTTGGCTGTAGTATACGAGTTTCATGTGAAGAAATGACAAAAGATCTGTCTGGGAGTTTTTCTCTTGTATTCTGATGTAATGTTTCGATAGTTACAGAGAATCAGGAAAAAAAAAAGATTCTGCTGGAACTCTCGATACATTAATCATGTAGCAAATGGTAATGTTTTTCATTACTGACGTATTTAAGGATAAAATGTAAAGTGTCGTTTGACGTGAGAGAAACTTTTACCACTGATTTAAAACCTTGTCACGATAAAAACGAGGAAAGTATTTCAGACTCCATGCTTCCTTTGTTCGGGAGGCCCCTCCCCTCCCTCGTTCTGTCCTCTCTCTCTCTCTCTCTCTCTCTCTCTCTCTCTCTCTCTCTCTCTCTCTCTCTCTCTCGTGAAGACAGAACTATTACCAAAGACATTTTTTGATTTGTAGAAAATTACATTTATACACACGATAATGTTACTGACATGGAGTCATAGGATCACAGAACTTTGAGTTAGATTATAAAGAGGCATTATTTTATTTTTTATTTTTTATCTCCAAGGCGTCTAGACAAGTTTTTTTCCCTACATTTTGGTGATATAAAAGTTAGAATGATCTTAGAGAGCATTATACTTTTGGAAAAATAGGGCTTAGGATAGCAGTTGAATGCAGAATTCGGTTTTCAGAATCTAATGTTTAAAATGTTAATATTAATTATTCCATAGGTTTATTTTGAATTGTAATTAATCATTGGTTTGGTATGGTAATTAACACACTTGTTTGTGTTTCTTGTTTGTCTGTTTTTTCCGAGAAAACTTCTGTCTGTTTCATTTGGCCAAAAATCGTCTCTGCCACAAACCACCATCAGCGTCTCCCCCAGACCCACAGGGGGCACCAAAGACAGCAGCATCGGCTGCAGCAGCTAACAGGAACTCTCGAAGAAGACTTCTCCTGCCTCCATGCCTGTGAGGAGGCAAAGAAAAGACCGCAGACTTTTTCACAAACTGAGTGTTGTCCCATCCACGAAACAGAAGGTGGCGGTAATGCGAAAAATAGGCCGCCAACCGCCGGAAAACCAAACAAGAAGAAGAAGGACACGACACATTTGGGTGCGTCAGATATGAAAGAAGAAGAAAGACATTATGAGGAAAAGTTATCGGAAGAAGAAAAGTGATTGTTGAAAGAAGAAGAAAGACATTGTGAGAAAGAGTTATCGGAAGAAGAAAGAAAGTGATTGTTGAAAGAAGAAGAAAAAAGACATGGAGACAAAGACATTGGACACTTTGAGACAAAAGACATTGAAAGACGCCATGAGTAAAAGAAAGACATTAACGGACATTTGAGACGTGGCTGGCCTAAATGAGACACACAGAAGGTAAATATACAGACAGACAACAAACGCACAGAGACATATTAAGTCATATTTACACATTTAGGTCATTCGTTCATAACACCACATTTAGCTGCATGAAAGAATACAGGACAATCGTTAAAATTAATTCGACTCTTGCTTTAGCATGAGACACAAGGAGATTAGAATAGCAGTATATTTAAGGTAGAGGAGCGCTATTATTGAAACTAGTATTATTTAAAGTTATAGACGCGGAGAAGTTTAGAATTATTGATTTTAACTGCATGATCTTGGTAATACGGATATTTAAAGCAGTGTTTTCAACCTTTGAACCGTGGTTCGTTAATCATTTAAAAACAGTCACATGCACAGTTGAAACTGGTGCTAGGAAGAGAACTGCAGCTCTTAATGGACGCTGCATTTAGTACAAAATGGTTTGTTCAGACAATTAAAGTTTGAAAAATGATTTAAAGCATTTCTGAATTTTGGCTAAAGGTGATATTGGATCATTTCTGATAACACATAGACGCAACACTGTTCATTGGTTGAAAACAAAGATGTAGGGACATTTTTTGAAATCTTTTATGACATGTTTCTCTTCCAAATAGCTAAATTAG